CTCATCACTAACTGGCCGGCAGCTATTTCCCTAAGCGGAAGATGATTTGGATCTCCACAAAGTGTCCCCGCTGTGATTGCCCCAGACACAGGCTGCCATGCGTACCCCTGCCTTCTTCCTTCTGGGCCCGGATCTCCTCCTCACCCTCTGTGCCACTTGTGGGCTCTGTCCCCCTCTCCTGGCCCCCCTTGCCCCAGGAGCAAAGGATTCTCTCTCCCCTTCCTCTTTCCTATCTAGTTGCCCCCTGCCTCTTTCGTCCAGCCTAGGCTTTCCCCTCTCATTCCATCCCTTTCCACTCCTGTCTATCTCTGTCACCTTCTCCTTTGTTTATATTAAGTGTAGGCCTTAAAACTCACTTGGTGCCCCTGAGAGCCTGGGAACGGAATGGGGGCTGGCCTTGGAGGTTTTTGACCTAAACTGGTTAGAGCAAAGAACAGAGTCTGGGCTCAGATAGCCATGGAGGCAGCCTGCTGGGCAGGCATCGGTGGCCGCAGACTATGACTGAGCCTCTTTCCCTCCCCCAGATCCAAGCCATCCAGGCTGTATCTCCTTTTTTTTGAGTGTGCCCTCCCACCCCCCAGGTACTTTCTCCTGGCCCTCTCTGAACTCCCCCGGGTTCATCTCTATGCTGCTGGTGCGGATATGTCCTGAACCGAGTGCCGCGGTCCTACTGTGCGAGAGCCTTCATCAGAGGCCCTGGGCCTAGCAGACAGCTATCTCTGTCTCCTTCCCCACGCCCCTGACACCCTCTCATTTCTCCTTGCTTTCTCAATGACTATCTGGCTTGGAGTTTTTCCATCTCTTTCATTTTCCACAACCCCTCCCACTGTGGTTTTTTTCTAACCTAAATCTCATTTCGAAATCTCCTGCCCAAGGGGTTTTCCAACACCTAGTTTTGAATCAACCTGCTGTTTACTGCCCTCTGAGAACAGTCATCCAGATGTGCCAGGAGAGCAGGCCTGAGCCGAGGCCCTGAAAACCCACCCCCATTGGTGATGTGGGTGAGACTAGTGAGGGGGAGCCCATCCTAGACTCCTCCCCCTCCCAATCATTGATTTTCCTTCCCTGGAGAGAACAGCCCCAGCTAGAGGTCCTGGATGTCAGCAGAAGTCTTCTCCCAGCCTCCCACAGAACTGGACCCCCGCTAGTGAGTTTGGTGAAAAGAAGGGGCCAAGGAGGCAGAAGATCTGAGAAGAGATGGTCAGTCAGTCCATCAGTCAGCAAATCTTTATTAAGCACCTACTAGGCGGCAGGCACTCTTGGCTAAACACTGGAGATCTGAAAAAAGGCAAAACCCAGCCCTATTCTCAAAGAGCTCCCTGTCCAAGACAAACAACTCTGTACCAGCAGGCTCTGGATGAAATACGGTGGAGATAATGGGCAGAGAGAAAGCAGAAGGCATCACCTGAGACTGGCAAAAGCTTCCTGAAGAAGGGCCTTGAAGGAGCCAGAGGAGCGGGGAGGGGGTGTAAGGAGGGAGATCTAGTGTTCTAGGCCTGGAAGAGGGGAGTGGGGATGCCCAGAGGGGAGGAGGGCTCAGGTCGTTGCGTCCAGGAGTACACGGGTCTTCCCACCAGGGACCGATCTACCCTGGAGTAATGAGCGGCTCTATGGCCGTGAGGATCTAAACACCGGGAGCAGCCTGGAGGCCACGGAGAACTGGGTCAGAGTCTTGTCATTCGAATAAATGAAAACAGGCCATTGCCTTGGTGCACCAACCTCGCCACTGACTGGCCCCTGGCAAGCTGGTAGTGGTGAGGGGTTGAGGAGAGCTCCCGACAGTCTGCCTTGGGGCCAACGGTCAGGGCTGGTGGGGCTGCCTGGGCTTCTTCCCACAAAGCCAACGAGCCTGCTGTCATAGGTCAGCCGTGATGCCCTAACCAATGGACCTGTCCAACTCTGATGTTGAATGCCTGTTTCCCAAACCCCACAGTGCAGGGAAAAAAGAGCAATGGATGCAAAGTCCCATCAAGGTCTGCATCCCAGGCCTGACTCGTGGGTCTCAGTTTCCTCATCTGTCAAAAGAGGGGGTTGGGCTAGATGACCTTCAGAGCCTCTTCAGACCGTAACCCCAGCTGTCGGGACCCTCTTCTCTTTCTGCTCCTCTGTCTTCATCAATCCCGGCTGGTAGCTCCTCTATCTAAGCCCCAGGCTCCTAAGCAAATACGGGTCCAGCTTCTCCCGGCTCCATGTTCCAAGCAGCCTGAGGCTCGTCTGGAGAGGAATCCTCTCCTCTCTTCAGTCCTTCAGTCCCCGATACTGCAGGGGCTGCTTGGGAAGACACCTCATTTGCCTCTGGGGCCTCATCTGGCAGCTGGCTCTCGGGTTACTTTTCCCTCGGGAGCAGCAGACTGCTTTGTCTCTGAGAAGCTCAGACAAGATCTGCAGACCCCTCAGGGATGCGGCATCCTCTCTGGGGAGATAACCAGAGCACTTTTTCATTCGATCGGCTCCAAGGGGACAAACTCGCTGAGCACTCAGTCCCAGAGTGGACCAGACACTGCCAGGACCTCCGCTGGTCTGTCTGGCCCAGCACCCCAGGGAGTCAATAGATGGTTGTGCTGTGAGCCTGTGGGTGTCTGACCCCAGGCTTTCTAGGCCCATCACAGCTGTGCAGGGAAAAGCTTACTTCTGCCCCCTCCGAACCCTGACACCTCATTGACCTTTCATACCATCAGGCTGAGTCAAGTCCCTAAGGGCCCAGCCTCTATCAGGCACCCATCAAATGGGCCCAGAGCAAGCCCATTTCTCGTCCAGCCTGTTATTAGCTTCTGTTACAAGGGATGACAAGGACCAGGTTGTTCTCAAGATGGCAGAGGGTTTCCATGAAGACATGGGCTCCTTCCTTCCCTCCTGTACCCGGGGTGCAGACCAGGGGGCTGTCCTTCCCCCTTGTCCTGAGCCCGTGTGGTCTCACCACACATGGCACCAGGACCAAAGACGGAATGGGTCAGAACACCAGCCAGCCAGAGGCACTCATGCCTTTCGTCCTTGCAATGCCCAATCAGGAAAGGGCACCCTTCTCCCCATTTACCAGACCAAAGACTCAGGACAAAAAAGGAGAAGGCCCAGATAAATCAGCGTGAAAAGCAGCAGGAGCCCAGCGTGCCGATGCCAGGCCTAATGTGCCGCCATCCTCCGCCTGACGCCAGGTGTCTGGAAGCTCTGGCCCCTGGGGGCAAAGCCTGGCTAGGGCCAGGGAGTTAGCCTGCCTAGCCACGCCCTCACCCAGCTGGGCCAGACCAGGGCCGCACTCTTCTCCCAAACTTTGTAAATAACTGAGACGCTCACGCCCGCTGGTACCCTGACAGCTAAGGGCTTTGCGTGGGGAGAGCAGCGGAGGCGTGGCTCCACTCATTCTGTGGGATCCCCATAAAGCCTAGTTTAACAAGCTCCTTCACTTCCGAGGGACTCCTCACATCTGACAGCGAGGTCTGGGCTTCAGAGGCTCTCTGAAATCAAAGAGGCCGCAGCGTTACTCATTCCTGACCATTTCCTCTAAGGTCAGCGGCTGCTATTCTTGTCAGCCAGGTAACTGACCTGAGCCGGGACAGTCAGCGGCCTCCTCCTCCCCCGAGCAGGTGGCAGGTCTGACAGAGGTGCCGATGGCCCTGCCGTGTAGACACACTGAGGCTGTGTGGACACCGGCTGGCCAGGCCCCATCTTTTGCAGGAGGCCTTTCCCTGCCCCCCCACCCCCACCCCATACACCATGCCGGTATCCACATGGCACCCACGTGGCTTCCCTAGGGGATTACTGTCTACCTGTCCTGTGGCCTCTTCCATCAGACTAGGAACTCCTTGAGGGCAGGGGCCCTGCTGCCCAGCCCTCAGCCCAATGTTTAGTACGAGGGAAGCATGTGAGGCATGCTTGTGGACGGATGGCTAACAAAGCCCACCCGTCTTAAGCCGTGAAGGTTCAAGGCTTTGGGTCACGGCACCCTCTGCAATGGATGATCCAGAAAACTTTGAGGAGGGAGGGCAGGCAGCCTGTGCCCCAGACTCTTCTCCTCCGTGCCAACACTCTCAGTGCCCCTTCTCTGGAAGGCCCCCGGCTCAGTGAACGGCAAGCCAGCCAAGAGAAGGGGACTGCCCCTGCCCATGTCTTTAGCATCAGAAACAAAAGCCTCCCTCCCCATGACACTCAGGGCCCTGGGGACCCCCGTCGTGGCGGCGGCTGGACTCCACTCGGAGTGACATGGTCCCCAGAGATGAACGCGCCAGATCCCTGCGGGAGCGTCAGCGACTCTCGTCCTTCACAGCCTGGGAGCCACCCTGGGTATTAGGGCCTTCCTTTGGGTCCTCCCATGCCTCATCTCACACCTCAAGCCGCCCCTTAGGGAAACTGAGGCAGACAGAGGTAAAGTGACTTGCCTAGGGTTGCTCAGCTACTACATGTCTGAGGCAGGATTTGAACTCGGGTCTATCTGGACTCCAGACCTCAGGGCTCGGCTCACTGTGGCACCTCCTGGGTTATAGAAAAAGCTTGGAATTTACCATCAAGGGGACTCAGGGTGGACGACGCCCTGTGCCAGCTCGGACAGTCACTCAGCAGGGCCCTGTGCTGGTTCAGCCTGCAGGACAGGAGGAGCCCACGCCCGGGCATGGAGTGTGCACTTGGGAAGCTGCATGGCCAGCCCTTCTAGTGACAAGGGCTCAGAGACTCTGGGGCGCGATTCAGGTTTCACTTATTCTCTCCTCTTCACCCCAAACCCCTCCAGGGCACATGCCAGGCCTTTTTCCGGGCCTGTCTCAAAGGCTGTGATCTGGGTGAGCCAGCCCAACCTGGAGGGGCAGCGGATGACAGAGCCTGGGGACATCCCTGATCTGAGGGGCTGAGCAGGGCAGCCCACACCCCTCAGGAAGACAAGCATCCAAGGGGGAAGGAGAAATGGAGGCAGCCGTAGGCAATGCTGGGGCCCAGGTCAGAGCTGGAGAGCCCGGCTGGAACAGAAATCCGCTGGCCGCACCCGCACCCCACCAGCGGGGGGCTCACCCTACCTGAGCCTCTTCCCATCATTTCCTTCTGGGTTAGGGAAACTTTCACTCGCTTCCTTTTTCTTTTTTTCTTAAATTTAAGAAAAGTGAGCAAGATCCTGGTGCCTGATGTGAGATCCTACAGCCAGACTCCTTCAAGTCCCATGAAACCTGCAAACACAAGGGAAGAGAACATGGGCTTTGAGTCTGTGGAGTGGACCATAGCTATGAGGACGAAGTCAACTATAGTGGTGTAGCCCCTGCCCTTAACACTCCTGGAATGAAGACACGGGGTACCAATTCCTTTTGGCTTTGTGAATTCAACCTGGAGTATCACAGATCATGGACAGTGGGTGCAATCTTATATCTCCTCCTCCTGCCCAGCCAAGCAAGAGAGATGGTCAGTTCCTGATGATAATTACATTTCCTTCCCCTCTAGTGCCAAACATAGCGTTCTGCACATGCTAGGTGCTGAGCAAAGCATGCGTAACCGAGAAGAATCTGCCTAAAACGAGTGGCCTCTGACCATGGCTGGTGTTGATGACACCCACTTATAATCAAATCAATCCAGAGGCTGAATCAGAGGGCCGGCTGAGGGCTTCCAGTTCTAGCAAGAAAACCTCTAAAATGTTCCAGCCTAAACCCAACCCAAACCAAACCTAGTCCTACCATTCAGAGCAGTACGGCCAGGGAAATGAGCCCGCTGGCCCTTCCTCAGGAGCTTTCTGTGAGCTCAGGGACAGGATTTCAGGGCTCTAGGGAGCTCACAAGGCACATATATCTAGCTGCCAAAGCCGTCCCTGAGTCACCAAGTGCTTGGGTGACTTGTCCAGAATCCCTCCGCTTCCCCCAGGTCTTCTTATCCACTACATCTCCGACTGCCTCTTAGTTTTTCTCTTTGCTAAGCAAACACTTATCACAGCTTTATAGGCCACAGGGGCATAGATTTGGAGGGAAAAGGGATCTGGGAGGTCATCCAGTCTGACTCCCGTATGCCCAAGTCTCCAGTGACTAGGCCAATGTCCTTTCCACAGCCTCTCCTTGAGATCTTCCAGCAGGAGGATTCTTTTGGGTATATAATACTCCCATTCAAAGATGGTTAGGACTGTTCCCTGACAGGCAGCCAAATTGTGTTCTGTATTGAGAAGAGAGAGAGAGAGAGATGGTTCCTGGTCATCTGAGAGACCTCTGAACGTGCTTAAGTGTAGAGAGATGAGAGAGAGAGACAGACAGAGACAGACACAGAGGAGGCTAGAAGGTACACATTTTTGCACAGCTAGCTGCAGTCCCCAAAGCCTCAGCCACGTGGAGGGGGCCGGTCCCTAGTCTGCCTCTTAACTTTCAGCCCCTGAAACCTTAGAAACTAGTAAGAGCAGATTTCCCCATTTGATTTTTCTCTCCTTGGTTGAGCTGAGATTTTCAGCTTGCTCTGAACCAAGGGCTGCACATTAAAGAAGCCATCCAGATGAGATGATACAATACGCTGGCATGCCCTGGGTACCCTCTCGCATTTCTGTTTACTGTTTCCACAGATAAATGGGTTTTCTAGACTGTCTTTTGCATAACCAGCATTTGATGAGAGGAAGCAGCTGTTACCTTCCCCTTTGGAGTGCCCAGGGAAAGCAGCTTTTATTCTGACCCCTAAAAAGGGCACCCTAGCCCCAGACTAACAGTCTTTGATGTGAGGTAGAGAAGTGTAGCTCTCCAGGGGTGGGGAACCCATGACCTCGAGGACACCTGTGGCCCTCTAGGTCCTCAAGTGCGGCCCTTTGATGGACTCCAAACTTCACAGAACATCCAGTCAAAGGGCCACACTTGAGGACTTAGAGGTGACAGGTTCCTCACCCCTGCCTTAGCCCCTTGTCCCTCTTGGAGACAGGAGAGGATCAGATGAGATGATTCTTGTAAATTGCTTTGCAGCCCTCAAAGTACTGCATAACTGCTGGCTGTGATGGTGCCCACAAGCCCTGAGGCCCTTCCAGATCCTAATCTATATCTTAGGAGATGAAAAATATTCCAAAAGGCACATTAACTCCAGCACCTCCAATGGCCAGACTCTGGGTTCCTGCCTCCATCTCTTTGTCCACACTCTTCCCTATGCCAGACCCTCCCTTCCCCCATGTGTCCAGCTCCATCTGTTAAAACAATGGGCCGAATCTTGGTTCAAAGGCTATGTCCTTCATGGAGTCTCCCCCGATCTCCTCCTTCTGAATTGCCACAGGACTTTGAGCCTCTCATCTTACTCTGTTAAGGTTATATTATATAATTATTGGGCAACACCCACCCCAGATTCTAGACTTTAAGAGGGCAAAGCCCAGCTCTTCTTCATCTCTCTAATCCCTGTCCCCCCAGCCCTTAGCATAGAACTCTGCACACCCCAAGTGCTTAATGAATGAATGGCTGGATGATGGACAAATGAACGAATCAATCAATGCAGGAGGAGAGCAGGAGGGTGGATGCACTTCTTCAGTGGTTGAGGAGGAGACGGATGGCATGCAGGGAGCGGGGATGGATAAACCAAACCATCATATTTCAAGGATAAAATGTTTAAAGTTATTCAAATGATCCACTCCACTTCAGTTCAAAGACTTTGGCTCTAGAGAATGGTTGTGGGGGTCAAGCAGAAGCCTTCCAGGTCAACCCTAGGGAGGTGAAAGCCTCCTGCCCACAGGGCAGAGGGCAGGCTGACCTGGGCAGGTGCCTGCGCTCTGGCCTCCGCTCCCCCAGGCTACGGAGCACCAGGTGCTGGCCAGCACCGGGGCAATCTGTATGGGCTGCAGGCTGCAAGCTGTGCACCAGATCTGTTAGAGGAGAGGCGGGCTAAGAAAGGGGCTACCTAACCACAGCTAACACTCCGGGAGGAGCACCAGTGCCCTCTCCTGGGATGGCAACAGCATTGACTCGATTCTGGTGCTTGGAAGTATTGGGCCAGGAGACCAGGGCAGTGAGTGTGAGTGTGTGTGTGTGTGTGTGTGTGTGTGTGTGTGTGAGAGAGAGAGACGCACACAAGCCATATGGGATGGCCACCCTCTGGCAGACCACACAAAATTTCAGCATGATGACATTGGCTCGTGAGTTGGTATATTCCAAACGCTGGAAAAAATGCGTTTCCTTCCTCAGGTTTCCTGACTTTAAGGGAATGAAGACCACCTCGCACATTTCTATGGCGTTTTACAGTTTACAAAAGTAACCCCAGGCTGTGAGGTGGCACAACCAGGTTGGAACACAATCAGCAAAAGACGGGAATGATGGGGCGCTTGGGTGCCTGTGCTTAGATCCCGATTTCTCCCTGGCCTCAGAAACACTATCCCTGGCAGTTTCCCCTCCAGCCCAAGGACCCCGTCTCTGGCAGTGACTCATACGTGGGCCCAGTGAAGCATATGCTGTTACAAGAACCAAGTGACCTCTGTAGAATTTCCCTTGTATGACCAGAACTATCATGTACTGATGCCCACAGTTACATATACAACCCAGCGGCCAAGCTATACACGTGAACTCCCAAAGCTATCGTGTCTCAGACATGACCCCCCTCCCTGAGGTTTCCAGTAGTGAATGACATAGTTGTATGCTATCACCTAATTAGCATACTTGCCACATAAGTCACTACTTTTCCTATATAAGCTTTAGCCTCATTCCTGAGAAGTTTCAAGTTCCCTGCCCTGCCCACCATGGCAGGTTCCTTGAGAATCCTTGCCCGCTGTACGGTGTAATAATAAATCTTTGCCACCTTGACTCAAAGAATGCTTGAATCGGTGAATTCATTCCAGATGACCCATCCTATACTCTAGTCCTTGGGGGGTCTAAACCTCTCCGACCTCAACAGGAACACAACGGCTCACATGTCCCAGCCTGCGCTTTGACCCACAGATCCCACTACTGGAAGCCACTGACAAAAAGACAGGACTTGGGAACCCCCAAGGAGTCATTGCAGACCTTTTCCTGCCAGCAAAGAATTGGAAACAAAGAGCTGCCCACTGCCCAGGAAACCTGCCAAGCGCCCTATAGGAAGCGGAAGGAGATGCACTGTCACAGAGGGACTGGTCAGACATGGAGAAGCCTGGGAAGAGCTGCCTGAGCAGATGCAGAGGGAAGTGAGAAAAACCAAGAAAGCCAGACCTTCCACCGCTGAACGATGCAAGTGGAAAGAACGGCCCCCCTGCCCCCCAAACAACCGGGGGGTGTAAAATGACGAAGAACAGGCTGGCCCCAAAAAGAGAAAGGGAAGACCCCTCCCACTCCTCCCCCTGCTCTCAAGGGAAGGAGCCCAGAGCTCCGGGATTTTACATGTAAGGTCCCATTGTGTCTATGGAGCAGTTCACGTTGCTGAATTTTACTTCTTCCTCGTTATGAGGGATGGCTCTCAAGGAGGGAGAGGGGTACAGGGGGAAATTTAGGCAATATGGAAATAAAAGGTATAAATAGATGTCTACCATATAAATACATAACTATATAAACATATCTGATAACTATATAAACTATGTTCCCACATGTATGTATATATGTTTATATATTAAAAGAACACCAGCAAGCCAGCTTCTCCAGCCCCTCTGAGGCACGTCGAGCATTCCTAGCTCCATTCCAGGTGTTCAGTCACAGATGACGGAGGTTAAGGGGCCGTCTGCCCTCCCCCACCCCAGCCCCGACTTTCCGGTGGGCAGGGCAGGCTGCCCTGCTCGGCCTGCACAAATACAAAGTCAGAGGTTGACACCATCAGTGGCGCTGGTCTAAAACCAGACGGGGCTCTGACTCTCTGCAGGTGGAAACCACGGGTCCGGAAAGTCAGACGGAGGCCCGAACTCCCCAAGCCCTCTGGAGAGGCGGCCAGGCCTCTGGACCAGACAGGTCCCTCGCCTTACTGTGAATTCTAAAGACTACAAGTGTCCATCCCAACCCCTGATCTGAAAGGAACTGAGTAGGAGGATGAACCGTGTGAGACCCAAGGGACTGCCGAGGGCAGATGAAAGGACATGGTACTCCTCGAGGGACACCTGGAGCCCCTCCCAGGGCCCGCAGCTCGGAAGACAGCACCTGTCCTCACTAGCCATTTAGTCTAAGGTAAGTCTTCAGGACCGCTAGGGGGCACCATAGTGCACAGAGCACCGGACCTGGAGTCAGGAAGACTCAGCCTCCTGAGTTCAAGCCTGGCCTCAGATACTTACTATCTGGGTAAC